CGCGCGCGAGCAGAACAGAACAGCTCGATGAAATTTCAGGAGGTCAAGTGAATCAAGTCGATGCACATGGGAGAGGGATTCGTAGTGGCGCGTTCACAAGCTCCGACGACTTTGTTGTTTGCTGTTGGACAAGAGTGCCGCCTTGGACGGTAGAACTCGAAGGATCATTTACGAGGCGACTGTCACCGCCATATTAACTGCCTGCTAATATACAATGATCGACATCGATCACCTCTCTGCGGCTGGGCGCGACGGTGCGTTGGCTCCCCCCTCCTCACGCCTACTAGTAGTCGGCTTCATCGGTGTATTGTAGCGAGGTTGGGACACCTCCTCGTCATGTCCGGTCGCTCCTACTGCCCTCAACCGGAGTAGGGCGGAGGTGGGGCGGAGGGCACCGCCCCCGGACAGGCTTCGCTGACCATCTGCACGACATGCGGAGTAAGAATCGGCCCATCGATGGCGTGCACGACGAGACCCGAAGCAGTCACGACGTTGGACCCATCCGGTAAGATCTGCGCATCATCCACGAAGATGCCTGTATTTGCGCCAGGGTACCTTGATGCCGCTTGGCGGATAACGACAAGGCTGGAGTCCCCTCCCGCCAACGTGGGCTGCATGAACTTGCCATTCGGCGACTGGCTGACCTTCGTCGTCAACGCGTCCATCGGCAGACTCCCGGGAATCGCGTGAGATAGCAGAAAAGCCGTCGCAATCTCATTGGCTCGAGGTGATTGCCGCAGACATTGGGTGACAGACTCCGGCGCAGCAAGCAGAGAGTCGTCGGTGGGTGCGAAGATGGTCACCCCTTCAGGCTTTTGACGCTGACTCTCCATCGCTTGAAGAGCATCCGGGACGGATCGCAAACTCTCAGCGAAAACACCCAAATCCTTACGTGCCGTGGATCCCTCGATCAAATCAGGAATAGACTGCCGACCCTGTTGCGCCATAACCGGCTGCGCCACCTGCCAGGATGCAGCTAGGAACATCGCGAAGAAGAAGACAGCAGCGAAAGCCATCTCTCTGTCGCCAACAGAATCGCCTTATTACTCGTTGTGGTCTTCGTCCTTCTTTCCCCTGCCTAACTCTGGTTAGGCTCTAGAGTCTAGACTCTTGCTGGCCCGTCAGCAAGCCACGCTGCGATGCTCTCACGGATACTTGTCCGATCCACTCGGCGTGTATTCACCAACCCCACCCCACCCTCACTGGTTAAGAGTATCGTGATTGCACCTCCCTCTCCGTCTCTTGCTTAATCTTCTCTCCGCAAGCCCCCTCTCTGCCTCTCTTCCTCCAATCTCTCGCTCGGTCAACGAGAATTACTTTTCCGCCCTACCGTAAGCAATTCTCCGTCTCCGACTCCGACGTAAATACTTGCTGTATGAGTGAGCTTGGCAGGCCTTTAAATAAGACTGATCTCATTAGCTCCCAACCGGTATGCCCGGGCTCTCAAGGAGTTTCGGATACAGAGCCTCGATCCACTGCTCAACTCTCCACATGCACTTGGACGCATTTCTTGATCAGGGGCAATCGGAAGAGTCCGACTTGGCTGTATAAGGACGATTATGAGGTCTCCAGATACATATAGGGTCTCCTCTAGTGCAGCGGGAAAAAACAAAAGAAATGCGCAATGCCGGCTGGCCTGATTATGTGCATCTGGGGAAAAAAGAGGAAAAGATAAGAAAGTCAGGTCACCCAATTAGGGGCAAGGGGCAACATGAAATCTCCCCTTCACAGTGAGAGGAGGGCCGACGGGACGAAGGGTGGGACGGCTATCCTAATCAACCGAGATTTGTGTTTTGACTTAGAAGGTGAACTTGCAGACTCACTGGGAAGGTGGGTGTGGATCAAGGTGAAAATGGGGGAAATCCAGTGGTCTTTTATGTCGATATACGCACCCACAGACCAGAAGGAAAAAGTTCATTTCTTTGAAGTTCTCCCTCTCCTCCTCCCGACTGGAGACAACTTGGTGTTGGGAGGGGATTGGAACACAATCCTAGATCCCACGCTGGATTCGACCTCAGGGGACCCAGTCAGGGCGGAAACGGTGGCTCTGAACTCCTTAATGGAAGGGCAAGACTTGTCTGATCCCTTTAGGACCATTCACCCCGAAGACAGGAAGTTCACTTGGGTAGCAAATAAGGCTAGGGCAAATGGGTCTCACACCAGGCTGAGGCTGGATTACTTCCTTTTGAGGGGTAAACCAGCGGATTGGGCGATGGAGGTGAGGATGCCATTTGACTCAATGTCTGACCATAGGCCTGTTCTAACCACCTTCGTTCCTGACAGTAGAATTCAGCGAGGAAGGGGCAACTATAGGTTGAACCTCTCTATCCTTAATGACAAACCTCTAGTAAGATCTATAGGTAAGTTACTAGACAAGTGGAGACAGAATAAATCATATTTTGATACGGAAGGGGAATGGTTGGAAGCTAGAAACAGGGCCGCAGCTTCATCCTTAAGTTTCGCCTCTAGAATCAAAGCATACAACCAGAGAAGAGAGGAACAAGAAATCATTGCTAAAATTGAATGCGCAGAAAGCAAGTTTGGGTCTACCCCAGGATGGGATGAATACTGGTATCCAGTAAGAAACACATGGAAAGACAAATTGAAAAATTTCCAAATTAGGAAGGAAAAGGTCTGGACGGACAGAGACGGGGTGAAGTGGATGGAGGGTGGGGACAGACTGACAAAAGAAAATTTCATGAGGTTTTCAGCAAAGAAGGGTAACTCTCTTATTGTGGAACTTAACCACCCTTTTGACATGTTTGAACCAGTGGCCAAGGATACCCCACATATCCTGGAGTACGCTAGAATCTACTTTGAGGACATCTTTCATTCACGACGTCCGGAATTGTGCTCAGTCGGAGGAACCGCTACAAGAGGAGCTATGGAGAACATTTGACGCTAGGATCTCTACCCAAGCAAGACTAGACTTAGATAGACCCGTCACGCTGGAGGAAATAAAGACCGCGGCGAGCTGTATGCCGAAAGGAAAATGTCCCGGCAGCGATGGATTACCGGTAGAATATTACCTTACATACTGGGACGCGCTAGGTCCGGAACTGGTCTCGGTCTGTAATGGCTTACTGGAGGGTTCAAATCTAGGGGAAGAATCCAGATTAGGAATTGTCTCCCTCTTGTACAAAAAATGTGACAAAAGAAACGTACGAAACTGGAGACCTATCTCCTTACTGAACACATCCTACAAGATTCTAGCGAAGACTCTGGCGATCAGACTCAAGCGGCACCTTCCGGGTCTAATTGGAATTGAACAAGCCGGCTTTGTGAAAAACAGAAATATTTTAAACAACATCATGCTCACTATCGAAGCATTGGAACTAATAAATGATGACCAACTCCATGTGGTGGCTCTCGTCCTTGACCTGGAGAAGGCCTACGATAGAGTTAACTGGGAGTTTGTTTTGAAGACTCTGTATCTGGCAGGTTTCGGGGATACATTCTACAAGTGGTTTAAAGCTCTATACACAAGAGAAATAGGTAAAGTCATAGTTAATGGGGAGGTCTCTGCCCCTTTCCTCCTCTCAAGATCCCTCAGACAAGGGTGCTCATTGGCACCGCTGCTGTTCGTTATCTAAATGGAGGTTGTCCTCTGCGCCATTACCAAAAAATCTGGATATTGAAGGGCTACACTTGGGTACAAGTAGACAATGTAAGACCTTAGCGATGGCAGATGATCTATTTGCTCTTTCCACTAACTCGAGGGTCTCACTTGGGGCCCTCAAGAAATGTTTGGATTTGTATTCGTTGTTTTCTGAGGCTCTGGTTAACTGGCCCAAGTCAGTGGCCATCAAACATAGTGACAATCAACTATGAGTGGATTGGGGTTTGAAGTGTCTATCTATGCATGAAAGTGAGAGATTCTTAGGGGTGCAAGTTGGTATGGGCAATGTTAAGAGGAAAGCAAGTGATCTAACGGAAGCCAAGATTCTAGCCAAATTGGAGAAAGTCTCAAAGGTCACAGGGGTGTCAATCCAAGGGCGTGCCCTGATCCTTAATAGTGTTGTTTTTGCTAATGGATGGTTCCCGGGGTCCTTACGGCCCCTGGAGAAAGATTCTTACCAAAGAATCACCAAGGCCGCTAAAAGATACCTGTGGAAAGGAGTGTTCGATGGAAATATGGCTTATATTGCTAAAGTTGTTTGGGAAAAAGTTATTGGGGAAAAGGCTAACAGGGGTCTTGGAGTCTTGGACCCGGAAACACAAAATCTCATCACTCCTCGCCAGGTAGCCGGTTAAGGTTCTCTTGGATAGTTATGGTCATCCCTGGGTGGATTTAGCTTTGTCCATCCTGGCAAAGGAATGGGAATTAGCCAGGTTAGAGGATGAGGGTGTTTGTCTGCTCACAAGAGCATTTGTTAAAACAAAAGTGAAGTCTCGCATTTGGGCGGACATTCTAGTAGCTTGGGCTAAAGTGTTCCCTGATCAACAGACAAAACCATCGTCAATTGGATGAAATCGTGCAGCAGCACATTTTTAAAAATCGTTGGATTTGCTCCCAGGAGGGAACACCTTGGTCTGTCGAAGAAACCCACGGAGCATTCGGAACCTCGTGGATTCAAAAGGGGGGTTCGCGGCTGAATGACCTCTGGAGCACGGACACAGCAAATTGGCGTTCGGTGGCCGAGATCAGATCGAAGCTCAAACACCTAAGGTTTGTGGACGACAGATTGACAAACATAGTTGATAGCATACCCGAGGAATGGAAGATCGTACTGGCTAAACCAGATTCTTCCTATGTAGGAAAGTGGGTCTTGGAGGCCGAGGAAAGCCAGCCAACTGTCTGTGGAAAGTTGAGCAGATTAAGAGTAATGGTGAGGCACACGTGGTCAGGGGCCGGCTGGTAGAGGACCAGGCAGGCAACCTGGTGGTCACCGAAGAGGACGGGCGCAAGGAGTGGGTAGATCTGGAAGGGTGTAAATAGGTAGTGGTAAAGGAAGGAAAGGGCAGGGGAGGGAGATCTAGACTGACGTGTCCACTGGGGCCCTTGCCAGTGACTAAATTGAGGGTCCTTCCTCTTCAATGGGGTTGGGGACCTCACAAGTCTCAGAGGATGTCAACACTAATGGATTACAAACCTAGATGGGGCTATAGAATGCAGGTCAAGGGGTGGAGAACTCCACTGTTAGTCAAAAGTAAATGGAATACGGAAAAAATATCCAATGGCCATATTCGAAAGGTAGTGTTATCAGAAGATTTGGTCACAGTATGGGAAGCCATACAGAAGATTATGTCAGTGAAATTCGCTAGCCTAACCTGGTTGCAGTCACACAGGGCACTCCCTACCATAGTATTGTTGAAAAAAAGAAACATGCCGGTGGAAGAGAGGTGCCCTGGGTGTAAAAAGTTACTAGAAACTGAGGCCCATTTGTGGTGGGGATGCATTGAGTCCCGCAGAATTTGGAGTTGGTGGAGTTATCACTGGGTTAAATTCGTTAAAGGGAATATAGCTTGGGATGAGGACTTTATTATGACCGGACTCTTGCCCCCCCAGATCTCCTTCAGGAAGGGTTGGGGTTATGTTGCCTTAGCAGCGCGAGCTGCAATCATGAATGTGATATGAACCTTAAGAAATGAGAGGCTATTAAGGGTCAGGCACTACTCAGATATTTCGATCCTTCAAGAGATTTTGGGCAGCATCAGGTCGATGATATGGGCCGACAGGAAAAGAGAAGCAATAGACGAACAAGGTATAAATGGTTTTTTGGGATTTGGGGTAAGGAAGGTAGGCTAGTCAGCAGGAAAACGAATGGAGGTATCTCTTTTGCCCCATGGTTGTTGGGGCCCAGGCCCCCGTGAATCGCAATGAAGTCTCAATGGGGGATCTGGTAGGAGGATGTTGTAGTTATGGGTCCCACTTCTGTGAATAGACTCTGTCATATCTAGTAAAATTTAAGATGGGTTGTCCTAGAGTTTGAAACATTTTCAACAAAGGAGTACAGAGGAAACAAAGTAGGTAAGGAGAAACTTTACTAAGGATGATCGACAGTATGGCCAGTTTTTTTTTTGGACATATATGGCGTCTGTCTTAGCAGGTGAAGAGGCAAACGGTTTCGATATCGTGTTG